GTGTTCTCTCTGCTGCAGGGATGGTGTTGGAGTACCAGAATCCGTCTGCAGTGAAGTCGGGGTCAAGATCTGGCGGGTGCGTCCAGGCGGCGAATAACACGATGCCGTCGCTGTCGGCAGTTCCGCGGTCGGGGACGAAGTCCAGCACGAAGACGCCCAACTTCAGGAGAGCGCGACCGATGAAGAGGTCGCCCTTCCCGTGGTAAAGTCAAAGATCGTTGGCGTCTGAGTCGCATTCCAGGTGAATTCCCTTCGCCATTAACTGGCTGACGCTTAGTAGATTGTATCCTAAGTTGTCGACGATGAGAACTTTGTTGAGTTGTAGTATGACGTTTGTCTCCATTGACTGAAGTTGAACCACTCCTTGTCTATTTGTTTTCACGTTCTCGTTGTTGGCGACGATGATGATAACATCGGACCTGCCGCCTGCAAAAGGTTGGGTTGTGTCTTCAAATATTTCAGGCTGCAGTGGTCGGTGTAGACGGTTGTTCTTCGTCCTTCGAGATAACATCTCCACGCTTTGAAGGCGATGACGATGGCAACGGCCTCTTTGTCGTGTATTGGAGAGTTTAGTTCTGCCCCGTGTAGTTTCTTACTCAGGTAAGCGATTGGTTGCAGTCCATTCCCTTGGTCTTGCATCAAGACTGCTCCCACTGCCTGGTCGCTGGCGTCAGCTTCGATGACGTAGTCGCGTTCGGGATCTGGCAAGATGAGTACTGGTGCGGACGTAAGTGCTTGCTTCAGCTGCTCCACGGCTTCCTGGTGTTTTGGCTCCCATTTGTAGGGCGTGTTCTTCTTCAGCAGATTCGTGAATGGTGCTGCGATTTTTGCATACTGTGGCACGAACCTGTTGTAGTAATTAGCAAAGCCTAGGAACTGCTGCAACTCCTTCACGTTCTCGGGTGTCTTCCACGTACGTACGGCTTCAATTTTCTTGGGGTCGACGTGAACTCCTTGAGCGCTCACCATGTGTCCTAGGAACTGGACCTTCTCAAGGGCGAATTCGCTCTTGGACAGTTTGACGTAGAATTGTTCGCGTCGAAGAATTTCGAAGACGCGTCGCAGGTGTTCGACGTGCTGCTTCATGTCGCGCGAGTAGATGAGTATGTCGTCCAGGTATCCCACCACGCACTTGTCCAAAAGTGGTCGTAGAATGTGGTTCATTTCGGCTTGGAACGTTGCCGGTGCGTTGGTGAGTCCGAACGGCATTACCAAATAGTCGTACGATCCATACCGAGTTCGGAAAGCAGTTTTGTGGATAGAGTTGTCCGCCATCCGTATCTGCCAGTATCCGGACCGCAGATCCAGTTTGGAAGATACCGTAACTCCCCGAAGCTGGTCAAGCAGGTCATCGATTCGTGGTATCGGATATTTATTCTTGATGGTCTGCTTGTTAAGAGCTCGGTAGTCGATGCACATGCGCAGGCTTCCGTCCGGTTTCGGGGTGAAGAGTACTGGGGCACCGTACGGCGAAGTGGATGGTCGGATGAGTCCTTTGGCTAGGAGATACTCGATCTGTTTTTTCATGTTGGTCAGCTCCATAGGGCTGAGCCGATATGGTGCTCGGAAGGTCGGCTTCGAACCCGGTTCCTCTACGATCTCGTGTTGATGCGTCCGGTATGGCGGTAGCTCGTTCGGAAGATCGTCCGAAAGAATGTCTTGGAATTCTGTCAGCAATTCCTTGATCTTTCCTGGAGGTTCCGAGGTCTCCTCTCCGTCGTTCTCTACCTCTGTTGCTATCGCCAGGAACCTAGTGTCAGTTCGCTTCACGTCCTTCTCGAATCGTGCGAGTGTCTCCACTGGGATATCTCCTGTATCGTCCCAGTTGGGTAGCTGTACTCTCCGTCCATTGTTGTAGATGCTTGCGGTGCGGTTCACCCAGTTGATCTCGGGGTTTAATCTTTTTAGGAAGTCTCGCCCGAAGATCAAGTCAAGCCCTTTGATGTTGGTGATGGGGAGTGCGGGTCTCCAGCGTAGTGGTCCAATTTGCAGATGTAGCACTGCTTCCCCGTGTACTGGTAACTTGCTTCCATCCACCATCGTTGCAGAGAATCCTGAAGGCTTGTACTCTTCCCGAAGTTGGTCGATTATTGCCTTGTCGCAGACGGTGTGTGATGCTCTGCTGTCCTCGAGTGCTTGGAGGCGTCGTCCTTTGCAGATGACCTCGAGCACAAGGGGCAGGCATTGCTCGAAGTACCCAAAGATAGTTTCATTGATTGGGTCATAGGGTACATCCCAATATTCCGTACACCCCTTTGTGTTGCTATCTACTCCTGAGCTGGCAGCTGGCCGAGGCTGCTTGGAGAACGGCTCTTCTCCAGGGCCCAGAGTTTCCTTGACGACTGTGCGCGTCGTTGATGCCAAAGAACTGGATGCATCCGGAGGAGGAGTTCGGGGTTTGTGCAGCTTTTTGTAGACCCCCAGCTTCCTCTTGAGCTGCTTCAGCTCCACCGACGTCTTCCCTGGGGAACGGGTAGTCCTTGTGGGCTGGTGTCGGGAGAGGACGTTGACTCCGTGGAAAGGTCGGCTTCTTTCCACACTCCTTAATTTTTTCCCCAAGTTGTCCGGTACCGGTATAATCTCCACAGCTGTCTGCTTCTTTTGGAGTCCCTCGCGGAATTTCTCCAAGGCTCTAGCCCCTCGAAAATCATAAGTTTTCATTAAAGCATCTTTATAAGATAACTTTAACGAATTCTTATGATTTCTTGGGCCTCCAAGGAGTTTCCCCGTCTCGGCAGAGTCTTTTTTCGCGGAGTCGTATTTTTTATCGGCGATTTTCCTTGGTGAAGACTGGTCGTGGGGTGGAGATTTTCCCCCATCATTTCCTCCTTTTCGCGTCGAATCAGCTTCGTCGAAGTTGATTTTCCTGGAATCCCGCGGCCGTTTTCGGATCTTTTTATTTTCGCCAGCTAGATCCGCAATCACTGGCGACTCCCGTTTTTTGGCTTCTGATTGGCCGAAGGAATTCCGCCACTGTTGCGTGCCCGATACTCTGTGCGTGCGGCTTTCATTTTGTTGCAGTCGAAGATTCGGTGACCCGGCACCCTGCAAAAATCGCACGTGTAGTTGGTGTTTTTCAGACGTGGCCGCCCCTCAAATCTGTCGACTTCCATCGGGTCGGCGAACGTGGGGTGAGCTGAGCGGTCGCCCTGTCGCGTACTGCAGACGTGCGTCCGTCGTGTCCCGGCGTTGACCATGTCGAAGCGCTCCGCTGCCGAAACGACGTCACTGTAGCTCGCGTAGTTTGACGCTGCCACTTGTCGTTTGACTAGGTACGATTGTACTTTTTCCCCTTCGGTCAGGTCGGGAATGCGGTCATAAAATTCCTCCATCTACTTCGTGTACTGCGCTACACTCCCGAACTGTCGCTCTCGATGAATTTTTTCCCGGGCAAGGAAACTCGAATTTATCGGCTCGAAGCGTTTCAGCAGGTCGGCGTGGAACTGCTGCCACGTGGCTTCACCGTGGATGAAGGTACTGTTGCCGCCAATCCACTCGAGTGCCGGCCCTCGCATCAATGTCACCGCGAGTCGTACACGTTGACCGTCCCAGACTGGCGAGCTCCATCCGACGGCTGCGAAGTAGATCTCCATCCCGGCGATCCATCTGCGGGCGTCAGAGTTTCGATCGCTCGGATCGAACGGCTCAGGTGGGCGCGGTTTCGGAGCCTCGAGAAACTGCTGCGACTGCTGCGTCGTCGCCGTTATCGAGTCGTGCTGCGCTCCGGCGAGTCGAGTTTCTCGCTCGAATTCGTTTCGCCACGCTTCGCGATCCGCTCGCATCTCCTCCTGAAGGGCTGCGATGCACGCGAAGAGCTGCCGAGTAACCTCGGCATTGTCGAAGGTTGCCATCCTGTTCAAAACACGCACGGAGGGGGTAATTCGAAAATCGCGGAGCTGGTGCTTACCAGAATCGGCGTCGAATTGGTCGCCCCCGATGGTTTTTCGAGGCAGGTTTTCCCGCTGCTGCTGCTTTGTTCAGTGCGGCCGAGTGAGAAAAACTCTGATTACCAAGTGTTACAGGATCGAATGTGTCGAGGAAAGGTTGCACTATCGATCAGTACAAGGCGCTTTTATACTTCCAAAGTACATCAGGTAACCATGTTTATCTTATCCTAAGGGAATAGACCCTTCTAGAAGATAGAATCACCCTGCGTATAGCCACGCGAGGCTATTGGCTTTAAGGGATTACAGCAGGATTACGCTGGATATAGTGCACTAGTACATCCTAAACCTAGTCGGGGATATAATTATAATAGCAGGATAAACCAAAGGTTAATGGGAAAGGGAAAATAGGAAACGCAAGGAGATGTGGTAAAAAGAGAAATGGAAGGAAAAGGAAATAGGGAAAAGGACCAGTGGTGTGACGGGGTCGTACTCTCACATACAAGGTGTTTGAGTAGTGCAGCGGAAGTGTTGAGTAGTTGAACCCTTGCACAAGTATGCGAGAGCAAGTGATTGATTAAAAGAAGCAAGCATACAGGAATATATAGAAAAAAAAAAAGAGAAGAAATAGAGCAGTTGTAGAATACAGTTGAAGAAACGGTTATCGAGTCGCACAGCGACTCGATCGTTGGTTCGGTTACCACCCTTGCAGTTGCAACGGACACTCGCAACCTCCGGTTGCAACCCTTCGAGTCCCTTCGTCCTTTCGTGTTCTTTCGTCCAACCTCCTCGTGTAACCTCCGTTGACTCGTGTACTCGATACGACTTTTCTTCGAGTGTAGTGTTACACTTCAGAAACGCTTAAGTCTTCGAGGTGTTTTCAACAATAATGCCTGGAGATTACGGTATTTGCCCTATCTAGTGTGATGTATTATGGAGCTATGATATGCTATGTCGACTGTGTCATAAAAGCTAGGTAGCTAGGAAGGGTACTAGGTAGGCGGCCATGGAATTGGCGTGAGGGTTTAGCTAGGAGATGTTGTGATATAATTGATACTTAGCATTTCTGTAAGTCGATTAGTTGTAGATAGTGTCGAATCTTACTGTAGAGCATAAGTCCGTAGAATGACGTCAGCAAATAGCGCTCGTCATAGGACAGTCGTTTCAGTCACGCGAACAGTCGCACCTCTTCATTATCGTTTAGAGCGCATAGCGCGATAGTGACAAACAGGTACATTAGCAAATAGGTACTTTTCCTAGAACTATAAAATCCTTGTTAGGTCCTTTCATTATTAACCTTGACTTTCCACAGAATTATGTGCTCAGGTTATTCAACCTTCGACTACCCACAAGTTCATGTGCTCAGGTTCACTCTGATAAGATTTCCGCTGTCTTACTAGTCTACCATTCCAGTAAAGATCCTGGACCAACACTTGAGGATTTCCAAGTGTTCATATTTGCAGTTTTATACTTAGTCTTCTACAACATTGGACAAGTTATTTCATGGTATGAGAGCTATCTGGAATTAAGACTACTGTCAACAATGACTGGTTCATCACCAGCACCGTCTGCCGGATCAACTTTCCGAACTACCGGAGTACATGTCTCCACTACCGCCACTGGTCTCTCAGCCTCTGGGCCGTTTCCACCAGCCTATGCTCACATCGGTATGCAACAGCAGAATCCGCCTTCTGTTAACACTCCAGGTGTTTCTTCGACTACACCTGCAGCGCAATAACAACAGTCACAGACAACAGCACAGCATCAAGCGTCAGTACAGCCACTAGTTTTAACACAATCAATATCGTCAGCGTTCAGTGGAATGAGCCTTGACGGCTCAAGTTATATGCGTGGAGTCACAGCTCCCAGTACTACTGTAGTTCGTTCACTTTCTTACCTTCTGTACAGCAGCCGCAGTCGCAGCAGTTTCAGCATCCTTTCTACATTTTCGGTCATTCTCCTGCTCAGCAACAGCAACAACAGCAGTATCATCAGCAGCAACAGCAACAACAGCAACAGCAACAACAGCAACAGCAACAACAACAATAGCAACAGCAACAACAATAACAGCAACAGCAACAACAGCAACAGCCGGGTATTATTTTTCAGCCTCCAAATTTACTTAACAGCACACAGATAAAAACCACTATACCTTTTAACGGAGTCGACTTCTACTCCTGGAGCTTTGATTTTGAGCTTCTGGCGCTGTCTGCTGGGTTGTGGCCTTTCTTCACTGGCGAGTTCACGTACCCTGTTGTGGGGACACAACTGGAGCAGCAGAGTTTCTTGCACGCATCTCTCGGGGCTTATACAGTTCTTGTTCGGAACTTGTCGCCGAAGGAGCAGCTCGGCGTCCGATCATTTCACTCAAGCTTTACACCAGCCGAAACTGCTTGGAATCATCTGAAGGGGGTGTACATGGCAAAGGATACAATAACATTGAGTAAAATACTTTCGCAGCTGACAAGTGTGCAGATGATGACAAACGAAAACGTCATGGACTACGTTAATCGCGTTCGTACACTGCGAGATCAACTGGAGAAGAGTGGAGGATACTTCCCTCGTGAGATGTATCTCACGGTACTTCTGGCTGGTCTTGGACCCGAATGGCAACAGACACGCGCCTTCCTGCGAATGAATCCAAACCTTTCCGAAGCCGAAATCTCTTCATATCTTCAAGCAGAGCAGCAAGATCTTGACTTGCAGTCACAACGCAATCAGAAGAAAGGAGTTCATTTAAGTTTTTACTCCAATCCAGAACCACATCAACGACATCCTCCAAAATATCCATTCTGCCATTTTTGTAAGAAACCTGGACATGCTTACCAAAACTGTCGCAGCCGTCATCAAAATCGACGCAGCACTTCTCAGCCACATCACCGATCGCAGCAGTCACCGAAGACACCACAGCCACCGCAGCAGTCGACTACCCAGTAGAAGCAGATGCCGAAACCGCAGCAGAATCCGTCTCCGTCACAGCATCGTCCTCCGGTTTTCGCATCTGCCACATCAGGAAAAGGGGTTTTTGGGTGTGTTACAACAGTCGATGTTTCAGAAACAGATTTCGATACACGACTTGAAGAAACCACAAGTGCGGAAGGAATTCCCTTACCTCAAGTTTACGCTAATCTTGCTCGAATAATTTCAGGTCCGAATACTAGGTACCTCGACAGCTGCTGCGGTTGGCACATGTGCTCCGCAGAAACAAGCTTTATCACCAACCAGCGTCCACTTCGTTGTCCGATACCTGTCACAGTCGCAAACGGACAAACGATTATGGCACGTTCTGTCGGGAGCGTAATGCTCGAATCTATCGACACGGGATACTCACTACATGTTACCAATGTTCTTATCGTCGCTGGTCTTGGCTTCAATCTTCTTTCCACGGCTCAACTCCTGGCACACAAAATCCGCACACAGGGCAATTGTGACACGATGGATCAGGAGCTGTGGCACAGTTCAACGAATACTTATCTTGGTCGTGCTGCCACTCAACATGGAGTGTCCATTCTTCAGTTCGCAGCACAAGGAACTTCTGGAGATTCTGAACGTGTGCTTGCACTTGGTCCCTGGGATCACCCAGAAGAAACAGGTTATCAGAAAGTGGATATTGATTTTCGAGCAACTTCTGTGCCAACAGCTTCTCGAACTGCCGTCGCCGTACTTACCGCGTTGGATACTTGGGAGTTCAATACAGCCGATGAAGGCGCCAATGCTTGGCGCACATTTTATAATACTCGTGCAGCCTTCCAAGGAACTCTAGCTCCACTATGGGGGGAAATTAGTGGACTAGCAGCTGATGAACTTCACATCGTTGAAGAAGCCGAACATGAAAAAGTAGCTGAGCAGCCGAGTCCAACAGTAGCTGTCGCCGACACACCTGCCACGACATCAACAGAAGCCGTATCAGAAGTTGCAATCGCAACTACAACAGCACCTTCTCATATCACGTTACCACTTACACGTTTCGTCGAAGGAGAGATTGACAAGTCACCAGAGCTTTCTCCTTTCATTATTTCTTCTTTTTATACTAACTCCGATTTCTACCTGCGATCATCAGGACATAAAGCCACAGAAGATATATGGCATCAGCGCTTAGGACATCCATCACAAGGAATCCTTAATCATTCAATCCGAGCAGCAGTTCTTGATAAGAACAGTCTACTTTTACCTGACGGCACGGAGATGAAGCCGCAGTCTCGACCGACGGTTTGCACCACGTGTCTGGATGCCAACCTTACCCATGATCCATTTCCAAGTCATTTTCCCGGGTCAACACGTTATAAACTGATGCAGAAAGTCTACAGCGACATATTAAACTTACTTGAAGCAAGACCTCAAGACGAGAAGTATGTTATAACTTTCGTCGAAGCGTCTACACGCTACGTCTGGACAGCAAACCTTCCTGCTCGTTATCTCGCGCACTCCGTCTTCGTCGCATGGCTCGCTGTCGCTGAACGGGAGTTAGGCGTGAAACTACAAGAATTTCAGAGCGATGGTGCAGGGGAGTACACCAGCAACACTTTCACAGAATACCTTCAGACACTCGGCATCAAAAGAAAGCAGTCACTGCCGCATGCACACCAACAGATGGGGGTAGCAGAAAGGATGAACAGGACTCTGCAGGAGAAGATGCGTGCTCTGCTGACAAAGGCACCACTTCCACCGCGTTTTTGGCCGTATGCGATGGACCACGCCGTGCTGTTACACAATCTACTTTCTTCAACGTCCCTGCCCGAGTTTTCCTCTCCGCACCTGCAATGGACACGTACAGTTGGAAGCACCAAACTTTTACGAGTTTTCGGGTGTGTCGTGCAGTTTCCTCCTCCAACTGCATCACTTGGCAAATTTTCAGAAAGGGCAAAATGGGGATTACATCTCGGCATCGAAAAACAGTATCATGCGTGGAAGATTTTGGATCTTCGCTCCAACCAAATCGTCCCTTCACGTGATTGTCTCTTCTATGAAAGACTCACCTTGCCTGTTTTTCGTGCCCACCAAGCAGCAGCTGCCAACCCCGCCAGGCTGTTCGAAGGCTCGCGTGCGTTTGCAACTGACAAAGCCGAAGCTGATGTACAGGACGAAGCAGTTTCTGAAGCATCCGAAGTTGCCGCAACTGACATTCCCGAACCTGTAACTTCGACTGGCATACCAGAGTTTATTCCTCTTGTAGATGCTGACCCTGATGACGTTTGCAAAGTCCATCTCAGTTACGAACGTGATCGCCAACAGCAGCCGATGCCCGCCGTCTCCGACGAAGCAGTTCGTGTTACACCTGACGAAATTGGGGGGGAAGAAGGACCAGAAGAAAATTTCGCAGGTGCAAACGAAGAACGTCCGCGTTTTACAGAAACAGGATTACAAATACTTGGATTTGCAATAGCAGTACAGTACAACGACAGTAAGGTACCTGAAACGAAAACTGTCCGACAAGCTCTTACGAGCCCTCACCGAGAAAAATGGCGCGAAGCCATGGACAAGGAGCTCGCAGCTCTGAAGAATCGTGGCACATGGGATTTAATACCGACTTCAGAAGTAAAAGGGAAGAAGGTACTTACCGGAAAATGGGTCTTCCGCGTCAAGACTAATGCAGATGGGTCGTTTGAGAAATTCAAGGCGCGATGGGTCGTCCGCGGGTTCCAACAGACTTATGGCATCGACTACGAACTAACATTTGCTCCTGTCGGTCGACATACAAGCGTTCGGATTCTACTCTGTGTCGCCGCCTGCCGTAATCTACGACTTTGACAAATCGACGTGTCAAATGCGTTTCTCTACGCGCCCGTCGACGCACTCATCCTGGTAGAGTACCCGCATTCCTATACTACTAACCCACCGAGCGTATGCCGTCTTCGAAAATCTTTGTACGGCATTAAACAGGCACCACGGCTCTGTCAGCGGTACCTTCACTAACAACTAATCACTGCCGGATTTCGACAGTTACCGCATGACCCGGGAATGTATCTTCTGACCGACGGACGGCAGTAACTACATTTTACTCGTCGCCTACGTCGACGACATTCTCTACGTTAGCACTACTGATTCGCTCGCCGACATCTTTACACTGAAACTACAGAAAAATCTGCAGCTTACCGTCACAGAAACAGTCTCACAGTTTCTCGGTCTGAACATTACCTGTTCACCAACAACGATTCACCTCACTACTTCTAAGTACGCAGCAACACTCGCTGCCTGCTTCAATCTCACTCCTACTACAGTCTCTACACCTTACCGATCTCTACCGACTAACTACAAACCAAAGCAAGCATACAGGAATATATAGAAAAAAAAAGAGAAGAAATAGAGCAGTTGTAGAATACAGTTGAAGAAACGGTTATCGAGTCGCACGGCGACTCGATCGTTGGTTCGGTTACCACCCTTGTAGTCGCAACGTACAGTCGCCACCTTCGGTTGCAACCCTTCGAGTCCCTTCGTCCTTTCGTGTTCTTTCGTCCAACCTCCTCGTGTAACCTCCGTTGACTCGTGTACTCGATACGACTTTTCTTCGAGTGTAGTGTTACGCTTCAGAAACGCTTAAGTCTTCGAGGTGTTTTCAACAATAATGCCTGGAGATTACGGTATTTGCCCTATCTAGTGTGTTGTATTATGGAGCTATAATATGCTATGACGACTGTGTCATAAAAGCTAGGTAGCTAGGAAGGGTACTAGGTAGGCGGCCATGGAATTGGCGTGAGGGTTTAGCTAGGAGATGTTGTGATATAATTGATACTTAGCATTTCTGTAAGTCGATTAGTTGTAGATAGTGTCGAATCTTACTGTAGAGCATAAGTCTGTAGAATGACGTCAGCAAATAGCGCTAGTCATAGGACAGTCGTTTCAGTCACGCGAACAGTCGCACCTCTTCATTATCGTTTAGAGCGCATAGCGCGATAGTGACGAACAGGTACATTAGCAAATAGGTACTTTTCCTAGAACTTTAAAATCCTACTTAGGTCTTTTCATTATTAACCTTGACTTTCCACAGAATTATGTGCTCAGGTTATTCAACCTTCGACTACACACAAGTTCATGTGCTCAGGTTCACTCTGATAAGACTTCCGCTGTCTTACTAGTCTGTCAAACATGTGTATCTCCTATGTTTGCATAGACTGTATAGAGCCATCTCTTAGAGGGTACAACACTTAGGTATATTTACCTGTACTCT